CTTTGGTAGCCATACCAATTTTGGACCATTCACCCTTAGTCTTAAATTGGTGCATCCATAACTCATATGTCCAGTTTCATGACAATTAAAACACACAATAGATCTAAGTCGTGTTTCTTTGTCTATTCTCTTTTTACAGTTGGCAATATAATATCCCTTCTGGTGACAATAAAAACATTCTTTGTGATGGAGTTTGCAATCTGTTTTTCTTACTTTAACCCCTATGTTCTTTACCTTTGCATTATTATATTTCTTATAACTAACTAGCTCGTTTTCTAAATCTTCATTTCTTTTTACAGCTTCATTTAGTTTTGTTTCTAAGTCTAACTTTTCTTCCTTCAGTTTATTATACTTCTCTGTTAGACTATCAAATTCTAGCTTAAGCTTCGAATGTCTAATTTTCACATTTTTGAATTCTACCTGTATATCCCTAATGGTTTCATCAATTTGATCACTTCCACAATTAGTATCAGAATAATAGTCTAGTGTTCTTACCTGAGACGAGTGGCATTCATCATCACTTTCATCAATAGCCATATAAGCTTCTTGCCTTCTGCCTGATTCTCCTTCATCATCCTCGTCTCTTCACTACAGCTCCAAGTTGCTGCATAAGCCTTTTTCCTTTTTCATTTGTGGACACTCAGCTTTTATGTGTCCACTCCTTCCACACTTGAAGCACCCTGTTTGGGAAGCATTCTTGTCATTTCCATTGGTCTCTTTTCTGAATCTTGAATTCTGTCGAGATGCCCTGAATTGATCTTTGTCAGAATCAACATCTTTTGAACGATTGTTGATATTTCCTCTTCTTCTTTCCTTCCGCAGCCTCAAGAGCTTAGCAACATGCTTACTCAGCATAGCTAGGTCATCATCCTCCATATCTTCCAGTGCATCAAACTCATCTTCTTGCTCAGATACTTTGAAAGCCAGACTTTGTTTTTCTTTTCTTGGTTCCTCGCTCTCTTCTCTTCTTAGCTTTTCGTCATGAGTTACTAGTGAGCCCATCAATTCGTCCAAACTAAGCTTGGTTAAATCCTTCGATTCTTCAATTGCAGTCACCTTGGGTGTCCCTTTTTTAGGTAAAGCCCACATTATCTTTCTGACCAGATCAGCACTAGCATATTCTACCTCCAAATTCCTCAAGCTATTGACTATAGTTGTAAATCTATCCTGCATCTTCTTGATTGATTCTTCTGGTTTCATCACAAAGGCTTCGAATTATTGCTTGAAACTATTAATTATAGAAATTTTGACGTGTGATGTACCTTCATGAGCAATCTGCAGCTTGTCCCAGATTTCCTTAGACGTCTAGCATCCCGAGACGCGATGATACCTTCTGGCCCCAAGGCACAGTACATTAGGTTAGTCGCTTTTGAGTTCAGCTGAAAGTTTTTCTTGTCTTCTTCGATCCATTTTCCACGAGCTTCTTTCACTTCCAATGGTCCGTCCAGAACAATGTTCCAGAGATTTGGATCAGCTGATCCAATAAAAAGCTCCATGCGATTTCTCCAGTACCCATAGTGTACTCCTTCGAAACGTGGTGGCCGCGTTTGAGAAAAACCCTCTGCCATAAAGATTCCTCCTGTATTCGCGCTCGAACTCATGTTCTCCGGAGGCGGTTAGTCCTTGTACGTCGGAGCCGGGCTCTGATACCACGTGTTGATGCAGACGAGCGCGAGGCTGCTACAGCTGTTCGTCGAATCTCTCTTGTAACTCTAATTTTCTGTAGAAGAACGAAAATAAAATTTGAAAGAATGAGAAAGTAAATCTTTGTGCAGAAGTGAAATGGAAGCTTGAAGTCTGTAAGTTGCGATGTTGGTTATTGGGCTTGAGGCCCAATCTTTGTTTTAAGTCCACAGACTCCTTGGCCCTTTCTTCTCCTAAATGACAGCGTTTCACACCAACTCAGTCTTCTGCGTTTCTTCCCTGTTGTCAAACACAACCTGCAAAACAGAGTCTCTTCTGCAAAACAGAGTTAGAGCAAAAAACTGATTTAGGCAAGTAAGGATGAGATGGACACAACGATTTTTACGTGGTTTCCGATACTGAGAAATCATTATCGACTAGTCCACAGTCAAAGGAACTATGTTTTGAGTCCTTATATGTTCCACTATGATAGTGTTTTGGATTACACAGTACAATGGCGATCTCACTGTAACTCAGTGTTACAAGATCAGAATCCTTGCTGAACCTCAGCTCCCTGCCAAGCTTTCAGCCTGTCGATCACACAAACTATCTCCCTGATAGCTCACACTTCCTTTCTATCAAAACCCAGACACTTTCACTCAAGCTCTGATTTTGAAAACAACTCGTGAAAGGATGCTATACTTCCCAAACCCTTTCTCTTTTATAACCAGCTGCTTCCCTGCCGTTAACTTTTGATTTGGGGGATAAATTTGATTGATATCCTTGATTGAGTAGAATCCTTACATCTTTCCTTTTCTTCTTCTAATTCTGCCATTGTCTCAATTCTTTCCTCAAATTCTCGACGCCAGCTGACATAACTTCACTCAACAAAAATTATATATTTCAGGAGCCATGATATTAAAATAAATAGTTCAGGTGCCAGGATAGGAAGATATTATAGTTCAAACAACATTTGGACCAAAGGTAACATCTAAAATCTTTTATGTTCCAGAACTTACTTGTGCGGAAAGTGCTAAAAGTTTACTCTTTGGAGCTGCATTGCAGGAAATGCGTGGTGTTTGATCCTAAGGGTGATAACTTGTTTGAGATTCTGATGACTCATAGAAGTTTATCTCCAACAATGGAAGTTGTTGATGACACAACTACATAAGATGGATTAGTTCACTACAAAAAAGGCACTCATTAGTGACAAAATTTAGCGATGGCAGGTCAAATTCGTCGCAAAAAATGCTTTTAGGGACGACAATACACTTCCGTCAATAATGTTTCTTCAAAAAGTTATGTATTTGCGACATAGTCTATATCTTGTCAGTAAAAATATAAATCGTTGTCACTAAGTCAACTTTCTGGATGGAAAAGTTGGCGCGTAGGTTATTTGGGATGAATATAATTTGTTCGTCAGTAGAGTTTCGTCGCAAAACACTGTATTGTGATGAAGGCTATTCCTTGTCGATAAATTTAGCGATGGCTGGTCAAATTCGTCGCAAAAAGAGGCTATATCTTGTCAGTAAAAATATGAATCATCGTCACTGAGTCTACTTTCTTGAGGGAAAAGAAACGCGTATGTTATTTGGGATGGATAAAATATGGTCATCGGTAATTTTGTAGAGCAAAAAACAATATTTTTTACAAAGGCTATTCCTCGTTGGTAAAACCTGAATTCTCGTCACTAAGTTCATTCGTTGGATGTAAAATTTGGTGAGAACTTTATTTGGGACAGAGAAAATCCTTTTGTTAGTAACGTTTCGTCAAGAATTAATGTATTTGTGACAAAGCATATATCTTGTCAGTAATAAAATGTTGTTGATGGTTTTAAAATTACGTATAATGTGCATTTATGTTATAATAAAATGTTGTCCGAGATATAATCACTAAAGGTTGTCGCAGACAATATTTGATCGACAAACTACTTATTTTGGCGACGACTACATATCATCGCAAATTTTTTTTTATCAAACCAAAAAATTTAGTGACAGCAACATATCATCGCTAATTGTATTTCTTCGTCAAGATTTAGCGCCATCGCAAATATTGGAATCCTTATTTGTGATATCCCTCGTTCGTCGTAAATATAATATTTGTGACGATGTTCAATTGTCCCAAATATCATTAAAAGTTGTCCAAAAAGATGTATTACCGATGACTTTATTAATTATAGAGACGACTATGTCTCGTCAAAAGAACGGACAATGTCGTCAATGAGAATTTATTACTGACGAGATGATTCCAACCCGTCGCAAAATAGCTTTTATGACGGCTCGTCACTAAGAAGGTTTTTGTGACGCTCGTATTTGGAACGGCGCGCGACGGTCTCATGGCGTTGCAAAATCCCATTTGCGACGACATTTGGCCTTTACTGACATAAACCTATGGTCACTAATGGCACACTTTTTTGTAGTGGTTGCTAAAAGTGACAATTTTATTCTCTCACATAGTAGGATTCGGTAAGAAAACCTTGTTCAAAATAGCTCAAAAGGAAATGGTAAGTGACTTATATTAGTTTTGGAGTATGGTGAAGGAGTCTGTCGGTTAGGGAAACACACATGTTACAATTTTCTATGAAACATACCAAGAGAGCTCAAGGTCATTATGTTCAGTGCTCAATAATCGCTAGGCGAGGAGGAAACTTGGAGAGTAGGCCTGGGCGAAGTTGCTGTGCGCAATAAATGTGGAATCGCATTGAAGAATGCCTAGGCGGCGAGTACTAGCTTGGATCTGTGATTCCGAGCTATGGGCGACGCCCAAAAAAAAAAGAGATGGAGTTGTGCGTTTTGGATGGGCCGAAAAAGGGAAAAACCTAATGGCAAGTCGAGCAGCAGAGCGAGCAGCAGCGCTCCCACCCATCTGTTCGTCACCTCTCTCTTCCTTCTCTCCACCAGTCAACCGCCTTCATTCCTCCTCTCCAACCGTCTTCTCCAGCATCACAAGTTTGCAGCAGGGGGATTCGTCGCCAGCTGTGCCACGTCCTTGCCGCTAGTCTCTAGAATCGCCCGTCGTCGTTAGTTGCGCCGTCGGTCTTCAGCATTGCCAGTCGCGCCTCGTCCTCGCCGTCGGTCTCCAGCATCGCAGTCGTGACTCGTCCTAGCCGAAGGTCTCTAGCATTGAAGGTACTGATTCTTCTTACTCTTTCGAGTTGATTCTCTATCCTTCGAGCTTCTTTTCATCTTTAGGCTTTAGATGATAAAAAATGGCATTGCTTTTGTCATGGTGTAGTTTTGATTTCCCCTTTGGTAGATGACCGAGTAGAATGTTACCCATTTTGTGGGATATCTTTAATTGGTTGTGCTTGTGAAAATGAATTAAAGGCTGCTGAAAATGTGTGTTTGTGATTACAGGGGCTGCTTGTTTTTTGTTAAATGGAGCAGACAGAGGCTACTGTCACGGCTTCAGCGGTTGAAAATGCGAACTCCTTGAAGAGGAAGTCTGATGATATTGGTTGGGAATATGGAAAACTCGTTGATCCAAACAACAAGGATAGAGTCAAATGTAACTTTTGCAAGAATGTAAACACATGAGAAATTAACCGTTTCAAGAAACACATTGCTTAGGGTGGTGGTGGAGTCGCCAAGCGTAGGAGTTGCCCAAATGAAGCTAAATTGGCATGCTTGAAATGGTTGGGAGGAACAGTTAAGAAGAAGCAGTATAAGGTTATTCGTGAGCTAGGTTTGAGAAGTGATGTTAATGTCTCTTCTGGTGGACAACAAGAAGAAGACCTTACTTGTGCAGGTAGCTCTGAACCTCACAAGTTAGGTCCTATAGACAAGTGGGCACGTGCCATTGATCCTAACTTGTCTTCAAATGCATCATTTCAGCAACAAAAGATAGACCAAGCACTTTTTAGTGAGAGGACACTTCAAGTCCATCAATATATTGCAAAATGGGTGTACACACATGGTTAGTGCATAGCTATACCCTTTACTTCTTTCTTAGATGCACAATTTCTTTTTCTAATTTACTCCTGAATTTATTTTGTACCTGTTGCATTCAATGCCATTGAGAATGATGAGTTCAAGAAAATGGTTGAGGCTATTGGTAAATTTGATCATGGATTGAAGCCTCCTACACAGTATGAGCTTCAAGAGCCTTTGTTGAAAGCTGAGTATGCAAGGACTAAGAGCTTGTTAAGTGATCGATAGGCGGAAAAGGAAAAGAATGGTTGCTCTATTATGATTGATGCTTGGACAAACATGAAGAGGAGAAGCATCATGAACATAGTCACACATTGTGCCGAGGGAACCAACTTTATAAAGTTGAAGGACACATCAGCGATTTCTCACACAGGTGAAGTAATCTTTGAGCTAGTGGACAATGCAATCGAGTAAGTTGGAGCTGAACATGTGGTGCAAGTGGTGACAGTCCATGCTTCCAACAATATGGAAGCAAAGGCCCTCTTGTTGAAGAAGAGGCCGAACATATTTTTGAGTTCTTGTGCAACCCACACCGTCAATTTGATGCTCCAAGGAATCAACAACATACCGAGGTTAAAGAAAATTGTAGATCAAGCTAAGGGGTTCACCATCTTCATATATGGCCACCACCGCACCTTGGAATGCATGAGATCCTTCACCAAAAAGAGAGAGACTATCCGACCAGGTGTGACTCAATTTGCTTCTCAATTTCTTACTCTACAAAGCTTGTTGGATAAGAAAGATTCTTTGAGGAAGATGGTGATGAATGCGATGTGGGAAAATATTAAGGAGACGAGTTCAAAGAAAGGCAAGGAGGCTTATGACACGGTTCTTAGTGTTAGGTTATTGAATGGTGTGGAAGTTTGCTTGAAAGTCTTTGAGCCATTGGTGAAGCTTCTTCGATTAGTGGATGGGGATGTGAAACCTTCTATGGGTTTTGTGTATGGTGAACTTTTGAAGGCAAAGAGAGAGATAAATGAGGCGTTTAAGAATGAAGAACTTTGTTACAAAGAAGTCATTGCTATTGTGGAGAAGAAGATGAGAGGCAGACTTGATGCTCCATTGCATCTAACGACATATCTTCTCAATCCTCACTACAGTTAAGCCAACTCCTCAATATTTGACAATGCCGACATTACAACAACATTGATCACTTGTGTTGAGCAATTATACCATGGTTGTGATGAGGATATACATGATGAGGTGGTGAACATTTAGTTCACAAAATTTCAAAGGAAACAAGGACTCTTTGGAAAGAAGATGGCAAAGAATTGTGTAAACTTTGACTACAATCCTGGTTAGTACTTATTTCCACCTTTCCTTCTAAGTTATGATTTAGTGTCGTTCAGAGTTAATTAATTTCTTAGTGGCTTGGTGGAGAATGTATGGAAGTGAGACACCTCATTTGCAAAAGATGGCTGTAAGGATTATGTCATTGACCTCAAGTTCTTTTGCTTGTGAGCGAAACTGGAATACTTTTGAGTCGGTTAGTAGTTTTGAATTTGTGTCCATATGCTATATAGTAAAAGTAGATATTAGATGGAAGCTTGTATAATCAATTGTCCTTGCAGTTTCATACCAAGAAGAGGAATAGGCTTACTACAAGTTGCATGAATCAACTAGTGTACATGCAGTTCAACTCTAGATTGATATCCAAACAAAGGAAGATAAAGGAGAGGAAGAATGTTGATGTTCGCATAAGTACTAATTCAATTGAAGCACAAGGCTTTCTATGATGAAGGTTTCGATGGCATCCCATGGAATGTTATTGATGAGGAAAGGGGAGCTAGTGAGAATCTTCAACCTCGAAGGAGTGCCAGATAGGTGAGAGACCTTGTCGATGAGGAGTTTGAGTCTGAAGAAGAAGATGACGTGGAAAGTGAGGTGATTCATTTCGAGGAGGATGAGGAGGATGTTGTGGTTAACAAGAACTATATGTATGAAGATGATGAGTGATCAACTTGGAGTTTATTAGCTTGTCATCGCCTTTATGGCTTATCTTAACATTTGTTATGTTTTATTAATGTTTGTTTCCTTCTATGTTACAACTTGAATGATTGTTATCTTGAATAATGTCAGTTACAGAACTGCAAATCAGTGAACTTATGAATGTTATGTTTGATCTAGCACTCTAAACTTACATATTTATCAAAAAAAAAAATCGACGTTTAATCTCGCCTAGGCAACGACTAATCGGCCTGGGCGGTGCCTCCTCGCCTAGATGGCACCCAGCGTCTTCTTGAACATTGATTATGTTGAAGGATCTGTTGCACCCTTTCTTTTCCTTGTAGGTTCACATAAAACGACCCATGGAGGGTTGAGATAATATCTAATAGTAGAAAGTATACGTGTATGAATGGCAATGGGCAGGTCTGGAGCGGGTATCACAATACTAATACCCGTCTCGTGGCAGGTAGGGTTCATGTCACGTAATTTATCATGGGTCATGGCTAATCGGTATGCAATTTAATTACATGGAAAATATTACAAATATTTATTAATTTCATTATAAGACCAAGAAAACAAACCCTATTATAATAAATGTAGTTAGATTATTGGAGAAATTGAGGTCATCAGTAATTTACAACTTTGAGAAAGATTAATGACAACGGTCACCGTACGATTACTCTCAAAACCAGCCTTCTTACCGGTCTTACTGACCTTGATCAGTACCAATGGCAATGAGTCAGGCGGAAGCACAGCTATCCACACTTCTATACCAATTACTGCCCTGACGCCGTCTCCAAAATACGAACCTCCATAAGGAAGTCCCTCGCCAAGGATCCAAGCATGGCAGCCGCTCTAATCCGACTCGAATTCCATGACTGCTTCGTCCACGGCTGCGATGCTTTCAACCTGCTCGAACAATCCCCAACCAACAACACCGAGAAAACGATCCCGCCAAATAAATCCACTAGAGGCTTTGAGTTTGTCGACACGGCCAAAGTCCAGGTCGAGACAGTATGCCCAGGAGTGATCTCTTGTGTGTGCCGATATCTTAGTCGTTACAAGAGAGGCCTCTATTTATACAAGAGGCTCCTCCTGGGACGTGAAGCTCGGCAAGAGAGATTCTTGCTTGGCATTTCCTAACGAGGTGTTGGCTAATCCCCCCTACTTCAAATCCGACCTCCAGAACCTGATCGATCTATTGGGGCAGAATGGGATCAACCCAAGAGGCATGGTTGCGCTCTCCGGGGCCCCTACTTTGGGCCAGGCCCAGTGCTTCACCTTCCGCGAACGGATCTATGGCCCCAACGACACTGGTATAATTGACGCTGGATTCGCTAGCGCTCTCAAGCGCCTGTGTGCAGCTGTGGGCGAGGATTTGACGGTGGCCGCGATGGATCTGGTGACTCCTGACAAATTTGACAACAACTACTTCGGGAATATTGTGTAGAGGAAGGGGTTGCTTAAAACTGATCAGGCCCTTTTCAGCGGCGATGTTACTGATAGCATAGTGCTTGAGAACAGTAGGAGCCCGGCCAACTTTAATGCCAATTTCGCGGCTGCCATGACCAAAGATGGGAGATCTTCAGCCTCTCACCGGATCGGCTGGCCAGATTAGGAGGGTTTGCAGCGCCTTCAACAAATGAACAGTAAATTAGTTAGCTTATGAATTCTTTGATTTAATATATTTTGTTGTAATTGATATTATTAGGGCTAGTTGTAAAATGCGACTCTACTGTAACTATTTTTTGTTGACAATACGAGTGATCTCACGATTCAAAAAAGGTATGAGCTAGTTGTAAATGCACACGAATGCACAATTATTATCTCATATGTAAAAAAATCATTTTTGTAATTTATCAGTTTCATTCTTCTATAAATTTTGTAGTTTCTTTCGAGGACATATGATTAAATTCAAATGATATATAAAATGTTGTTGGCTAATTCTGAACTTCTAGATGCTTGCAGATCACAGTTACATGCAAGGTATTAATTATTAATCGAATGGATAAAAAAGGCAAAATACACTTTCATAGCCGTAACTTTGCACTTCGTGATAAATATAGCCAAATTTTGAAAATTACACAGAAATAGCCAAAATTTTGAAAATGCTTTGCCAATTGTAGCCATTTTCGTTATTAAATGTGACGTCGTTAGAGATGTCGTTAGTTACCTGTTCGCGTTGTTGAGGTGGTGATGTGATTCCTTAGCCGGACTCGACAGAAGGAGAAGAAGATCACAAGATATGATTCAAGCCATGATTGATCCAAAGTATGTGGCGGACATGAACGAGTTTGTCGAAGGCACAAAGAAACTAGTCGACACCGATCTTTGGAAGGATATGCAGAAGACGTTGGTTGTCCTAGTTCAAGAAAAGGCCGTCCGCGATATTGAGGAGGAGCATCACGGTGTCGTCGAACAACTGTCCAGAACTGCAGAAGGAAGATGGAGATTCCTATGAGCTGGTCACGGTGGAAAAGGAGAAGATGGTTTATCGCGATCATTTTCATGATGATCTTTCTTGCAGAATTTCACAAGCTTTGAGGACCACCGCTGCGAAACAAGGAACGAAGACTGTCGAGCTAGCAGAAGGGGTTCGAGGCTTTTATGGAGAGGAGCAGGGGCGTAACGTTCATCTTTCTATGGATTATTGTCTTTTCTATCACTGGAAGTATGGGAAGAAGAGACAAGAAGACGGTGAACCTGACTGGAGGGTTCTATAGAATTTCATTTGGAAGCCAGGTTAGAAAACTTTGAGGGCAAATCTTCTTCAACGGGGAGGGACTGATGTGATTCCCCAGCCGGACTCGACAGAAGGAATAAAGGAATTACTTGAGGACTAAGTCATTGCTTTTGGGTGGATTCTTGGAAGATTCTTACTTCATTTCCTTTCCCTTTTAGCCGGATCCTTGCTTTATTTCCTTTCCCTTTTGGGTAGATTATTAATTTATTATCTTTCCTTTTTGGTATTTGAATACCTTAATTGATAAGAGAGGACTTTTAGCTTTAATTAATGGTAGATACATTGTTTTGTAACATCTATAAATAGAGGAGGAATTGCTTATGAGTGGGGCAGACTTTGATGACTATTGATATTTCCTTGTTCTTTGAGCTTTAGACTTGAGAATTTTCTGCTTTGTATCAATCAAGTTTTCCCCTTGATTGTGGTCAAACTTATACCCTATATTGATAGAGCCTTCTCCCGATTTCGTGTTGATATTGCACTTTCAATTCCATACTATCCCCAAAAAAACAAAAACCCCTAAAAATCTCTTTTCCTGTTTGTTCTTGGAGCTGCGTTACTTTGATAACTACGGGTACCGGGTCTGTGCTGGTATCAGGTGGCCAACATTTGGATGCCATGTCGGCGACAACTAGACTGCAAGTGCCACCTCCACGCCACGTCATCCTAAGGAGAGGGAACCGGTTGGGGCAATCAAATATGCCCATCGACTTCTCCTCCATCGTAATATTCGATTTCATCTTCCTCCCAAAAACAGCCAAAATAGGCTTCCATCTTCCTCACAGCGGCAACCGCAATTCGGCGAAAAACCTTCATCACCGTCGACAACAGTGGTTCCGCCGTCCCTTCCACGTTTCCATCGACAATTCCTCCTTCCCGCTCGCTCATAGTCCGCATCTACCATCCCTAACGATGTCACAAAGGGGCAGTTTGGGTGCTTGCAAGAATGGCGCCAATTCGGGCTCAACAAGCGTCAAAATTGGGTTTTCTATTCATTGCGAACACAATGTCCCAGCTGTGATTAATATCATTGGGACTGAGTTGAATCCATGAAGGCAGTTCTATGGCTGTCGTTATTGAAAGCTAAGGCCATTTCATTGCAATTTGATGATTTTATATGTTGGTTGTTTGTTGACTAAGGAGGGACGATGGTTTACAGGATGGGAAAGGATGTAGATTTTTTAGGTGGGCGAACGACAATGATGATGGATTAGAGTCAAGGAACCATGAAATGGAGAGTATTATTATGAACTTGGAAGAGAGACTAAGGCTGGCCGAATCCAATGTTGATAGGAGGAAGAAGGAAAAAAAGCTGATGGCAGAAGAACTAAGGAATTGGATACAAGTTCACCAAGTTAGATTAGTTGAAGAGATCCTGGTCATGAGATATATGTTGACTGTTTTGTTGTTCATGAATGTGTTTTTGTATGTGATTCTGTGGAGGAAGGATTTTGGCATGTAAGTTCTCGTTGATGTAAGTTGGGTATGTAACTCGATGTCGAACTTCCATTGGTATGTAAGTGTTGCATTTTGGTGTTGAATGATCAAAAGAAGTGTACTTGAGTTTGGTATAACATTTTGGTGTTGAATGATCAAAATAAGTGTTGCATAA